TAGGGACATTCTTGTGGTTGTTTCAAGGAATTATAACATTTTTCATGAGTTAGACTGACCTGTAGTTTACATTGGAATGGGCCTGTATTAGCCTGTAAGTTCCGGTTATTTTTATTTGTATGTCTGTTTATAAAATGTGGATATCGATAATGGCAGGACGCATCTGGAATGAACATTGCTCATCTGTCCTGATACAAAGTAAGCAATTATGGGAGTCACCAAATGTTCACCTCCCCCAGGAATCCAATCCCAGGAAGAAAAATGTTGTATATAGCAGACTACCAGTCCTCATACGTGGTGACTGCATTAACTTTCCTTTTTTCAGGTTTTTTTCACCTATTTTTACACAAGATCTCTCGTCGGAAAGCTTTCAGTAAGATTGAGCACAAAAACTGGTCCATAGTGAATTTCAACTCTTAGAGACATGTACAAGTTTACATTTGTATGAGCTTAGATGCATATAGCCAGCTTGTAATACATCCCCCCCTGGGCCTTGAATGAATGAAGATCAAGGTCATTCATTGACATATTTGAGTCATTCAAGGCCAGGGGAGATATAATTCATCATTCATTCATTGTCAACAATGAGTAGGTGGCTACGGAGGAGTAGAATGGCCTTCCTTCATCATGACTAAGGAGCAAGGTTATTCTGCTCCTGCATCACTGCCACTACCTTAACATTGTTTATATTTACATCTTTCCCTTCACTATGCAGTGGTTGCCATATCCATTTACATAGTGTAAACATTTGCAAAAAGTTTGCATTTGAACTGTAAAATCTGTTCAAAATTGTACTGTAGATAGAGATTTTTCTAGTCATGGTTTACACAGCTAAACACTGGACCAAAACAGACCTGTGTGAATGGGCTCATGGCATAAAATTCTTCTGCATTTAGATCCATATAAAATACGGATCTTGTGGCCACATGAATGAGCCCCTATATTCTACATCAGTAAGGCAAATATTTTGGCTAAAAAATAAAATGGGTACCAGGAGTTTATGTAGATCAGTCTGCGTTATAATTTCATACGACACCCCTACTTTATGTCCTTACGACTCCACACTCAGGACCATCTCCTGCAGATGTGCCTTCTATCTGGCTAGAGGGAAGAGATGAGTCTGAGCTGATGTGACCAGGTAGAGCAGAAAGAAGAGAGAACACAGTACTTCCCAAAAGTCCTGCTTTAATCTACTGCTGCCCTTCTTACTAGTACAGGTCGCCCTCAATTTACACTGGGGTTAGATTCCTGAGGGAATGGTGTAAATTGAAACCCAGTATATAATGTAAGTCAATGGGAAGCGAGGGAGTTCTGTTCCAGACCTTTCTCAAAATTTACATAAGTAATATAATACAGGTACATTATATATAAAGCTACTGCATGTGCTTACACAAGGAGCTTTCAATAAAGTGCACTGTACCTGTATTATGTTACTTATGTCAATTTGTCAATGGGAGAGGCTTTGGACCGAACTTTCTCTCTTTCCACTGACTGACATTATTTACTGGGTTTTAGTTTACACCAGTTTCTATTTAGAACCGTTCCTTGTTTTGAGAGAGGCTTGGAACCTAACTCCCTCACTTCCCATTGACATACATTATATAGTTGGTCCTAATTTACAACACTCCTAGAAATGGGTGCTATTTTGAATCGGTGCAAATTGAACTGTTGTAAATCGAGGGCCACCTTTATTTGAAAGCAAGCCCTGGACCTGTGTGGCTTTTCTCTTGGTGTTTCTCATCCAACAGTAGTTAAGTGATGTGAATATGGGTGATCTGGCTAATGGGTAGGCAGCTTCTGCAATCCAAATCATCTCTACAATATCCTTGGCTTGACTTTGAACAATAAAAGTAGACAGATGTAGTAACTGAAGAGCCACACTTATTAAAATAGTCCAGTTACAACTTTATTCCATTAGGGTTAGGAGGGCATTCAAGGCTACTCCACTTCACTGTCCCCCTGACCCTAGTGGAATCTACTGAAGGAATAGGCATCCTCGGCACTTTACTGTGGTGGAAATACAAATCCCAGGCATTTAAATGTCTGACATCCACAGATAAGTGCCGTATTTTACCATCCCACAAGTTATAATTTAATTTCATCATGTCACTTGTGTGCCTAGATTTCTATGATTGAGGTTACAGCTCCTGAGGCTTCTGATTGCTGCATTCTGCATGACTGACAGTTACAAGCTGATTATGGCGTAACCTGTCTTTTATTTATTTTTATGTTTTCAGTGGAATGAAAAACTAGGTGGTTTCAGAAGGGTACAGCAAAGGGATGCTTTTTTTTTATTAAAGGAGGAATCCAGGTTTAAAGGATAACTATGAGATGAGTGATTTCCACTCACCTCATAGTTCTAGCCGACCTGTGACAATGAGACTGTCACAGGTCGGCTCAGTAGATCGGGAGGTGAGCCAACACCATACCGGGTTCGCTCACCTCTCGATCCTGTCACGGCTCTCTGCCGTGACAGGTGGAGGGGCTGGATTCCCCTCTCCCCGCTCCGATCTCCCAGCGCTGACTGGCGGAACGGACGGGGCGGGTACAGCTGGCTCTGCCTCTAGATAGGCAGAGCCAGCTGTCACTCACGCAGCTGGGCGGATCTCGACGTCGGGATTCGCTGCGACGTCTCAGTATACCGCGAGCTTAGGGTAACAGGAGGACGCTAGTTTGTGTCCTCCCGTTACCCTAAGGAGAACTATGGGGAAAAACACTGACCCCATAGTTCTCCTTTAATTTAAGGAGTATTAGCCAAATATGTCAGGTGTGAAAAAATTACCTTTTTAAGTTTTGGGTCCAAGATGTATTATGTTTTATAGGTGAATGCTGTTACCAAATTTAGCAAATGTCGCCCTTTAGCAATGAAGGGGTTAGGGAGGGAGAACCCTCGTGACTCTGTGATGCCATTATTGTAAGTGAAGTTTCTTATAAACATCCATTAATTTTGAAGAATGTGCATGTTTAAATACCAATCTTTAAGTTGTAGTATGAAACATAAACAGATTCAGTTACAAGCTAGTATGTTCAGCACATATTAATCACCATGACAAATTCTGTGGCGTTATTTGTTTTTATATTTATGCTATGACAGGAAACCGGTGATTTCATTTAAGAAGAGTGACCCATACTCTACCACCTCGTGACACATAGTACTTAAGGGTCCATTCAGGCGTGTAAACTTAGATGGAATCGGAGGACACGGCCCACCTGCTGAATGACTCGGATTGTGATCCTGGCGTTCATTTTGTGCACCTGGCTCATCCACTAGCTAAATCCTTGTACATGCTGATGTCCTCCTCTTATAGCACTGAACCATAACCTGGGAACATGGAAACCATTGCGTGTGTTCCCAGATATATGCATAACCTCTCTCAAAGCCCACTGCAGCCTCATGATAACACATCGGAGCATTAAAGTTCAACTAAAAACAAAACTTTTTTAGTTTTGGATAGAGTGGAGAGGGATTAGAACACCTGTCAGGTTTTTATTGCGGTATGTGTCCTCATTAGGGAGATTCAACCTCTCTATTAGTCCTGAGCACAATTATCTCTAAACGTGAAAGAAAATCCCAAATTTTTGTTTGTCAGAACAGGAATAGATGGGAAATCTTTCAATGGGGATGCTAGTTCTGGTGACCCTGCAGACCATCAAGAATTTGGAGGAATTCCTATTCCTGTTGTGGCTTTCTGACAAAGTGAAAGGAAAACTCCCCCAAAGCTCAAAGATGGCAGAGAAAGCTGACTGGTGTTATAGCTCTTCCTTAAGGTGCCCATACGAGAATCGTGGGAAATCCTGAGATCGTACGAGAATCGTGCAGTGTGAATGAAGGCGTGCGACCGTTTCTACTGTATGGTCGCACGTCTTTTGTCTAAGGAGCATGCTACAAAACAAGCCGAAAATCTTACAATTTTCGGCTGGTTTGAATGATGCTCGGGGAGACAAATGGCGAACGGGCTGGTGTGCGCACGCAATGCCAGTTCAGCATTGCGGTCATCGCAAATACGATCTGCCTGTCCAAGATGGGCAGATCGTACGTTTTTTTAAAATTACTTTACAACCATCGCAAGACTAAGGTCTTGCGAAGGTTGTGGTTGTAAAGTGTATGGGCACCTTTACTCTATCAAAAACATAAAAAAATGTGGCTTCAGTTTTACTTTAAGGGGAGGTTTTCCCAAAGCAAGGGGAATTCCCATTTTACACAGGTGTCAACAGAACATTTGTTCCCACTGAAAGATTTCTGAGGCCACCCTATACAAGAAGGACCAATAAGTAGGGATGCACCGATACTAGTTTCGATATCCGTGCCGATACCAAGTATTTGGGCAAGTACTCTAAATGGCCAGGAAGCATTGTCACCAGGGAGCATGGAGCTGGTTTTCGGGCCAATCGAGAAACCGGGGGGTGGGTATTGGCTCGTGACGAGGGAGCATGGAGCAGGCTTCCAGACCAATCACGAAGCCGGGCGACATGTAATGACTCGCCCCCCAGCTTCCTGATTGGCCAGAAAGCCGGCTCAATGCTTCTTCGTCACCTGGAGACAAGGGAGCATGGAGCCAGCTTCCCTGTCAATGACTTGCGGCACGACTTCCTCATTGGTCGGGTAGCTGGCCAATCAGGAAGCCGGGCAGTGAACCATTATCTGGTATCAGTATTCAGTATTGGTGAGTACCAAAAAGAAAATATTGGTACAGGTGTACTTTAAAGTGACATATTATGCATCATCATCTTCTTCATCATCTTAGTCTTGCAGTAAATGTTTTACCCAGCCATTGTACACAGTAGTTATAGGAATTTCTTATTACATACAGTGTTCTATATTTTGAAACTCTGTTGGATCTGAAAAATGTGCTTTTTGCCTGCAGATGACATATGTTTAGTAGAAAAATACATGTTGGAAGCATCTCACTTTTCTTGCCATGACCGTAAATTACGTGGTACAATATAATGTATTGCATCATCCATTGTTTGCACTAACATTTTTTCTATGCTTTGTACAGGAGCAGCGAATATACGGAAGTACTGGAGTCGTTATTATCAGGGATCTCAAGGTGTAGTCTTTGTTCTTGATAGTGCCTCATCAGAAGAAGACCTAGAAACTGCCAGAAATGAGCTCCATTCAGCTCTTCAGCACCCACAACTATGCACTTTACCATTTTTAATATTGGCTAATCACCAAGACAAACCAGCGGCTCGTTCCATACAAGAGGTAGGCTTATTCTCTTTTAACAGCAAGTTTGACATGGATGATGCATTATCCTTCAACCACTAGAGGGCAGAAGACTTCCTGTTTTGTTGAACAGTGCTTGGTCAGTGTGCGTTACCATCTTCTGATTCATGCCTTGCGCCTGTTGAGTCCACCTTACACTTGAAATTCTATTAGCTGTATGCAACAGTTATATTGTATTATGAACAAACTCTGCCTGGCCGCTAACCCTGAACTCAATGTCCACCCCCGTCCAATATCTCTACCCACACCTACTTCCACATCCCCCCAACAGTCTCTTGCTCTTCCTACCCCCCTTCCCCAAACAGTTCCCTACCTCTTACCCTATTTTCACATCAAACATTTTTTTAAAAGCACTTCCTCAGAAGACCTAGAGTTCCCGCTTCATTAAACCACAAGTAGACAACTATATGCCAAACTGTTTATTACACACGGATAGGACAAAGATACAAACCTCTCGTAATCCGTTGCTTTTTTTAGTTATCACACAGATTGTTTGGCAACTTTTTATTTTTCTTTAATCTGAAGAGTTGATATATTTAATAGAAAATGGTCTCTGAATGGAATAAGTTCTTCTCGTTCTATGCTCGTTCTCTAGCGAGTGATGACTAATGGAAAACACATTATTGGTAGTTATGGTTATTTTTTGTGTGTTTGATATGAATATAGACTTGCTGTGCCTTCTGTATTAAGGGATTAAAGAGGATATGAGCTGTGGTCCCAGCCCAAAAAGGAAAGCACAAGACAAAAGACTAGTTACCCGTATTGGCTGTAGGTTCCCTGAAGCAGATTGTTTCCTCAGTATTTACTTACCATGCCTTGTTCTGCACTGTGTCTCCTTGTGGAGGTGACCATCCTTAGCAGAGGATTAAAGCTTTACTTCCTTGTGTCAGAGCTGCCTGACTGATGACTGGTGATTTGATCACTGGTGAGGTGATATTCAAGAAGCCGCAGGAAAGATGAAGAAAGCACAAAGCCACAAAATAAAGAAGCAAGTTAATCCTTTCACTGCAGGTTTTCAGGTACAACTTCCTCTCCAGCAAGGAGAACATTGAGCAGCACAGTAGTGACATAACTAAATTTCACTCCAGATTTTCTGAGCTGTAGTCAGAGGCAGCAGTGCCTTATATGGTCTAAAACTTTAGATATTTAGCTATATAAATAAAGGCATAAGAAGTGAGTTGCTTTTTTTCTGAAGGAATTCAAGGCAAAAGGCAACTATTTAAGGTTACTGCTTAGGCACAATTACCGTTTCTAAATGATACCTGTAAGTCACTTTTCAAGTTCAGGAGTTAATAAGCATCTCTCTTAGATTCTCTGTATTGCCTCTCTTGGTCAATCCAATTATTTGTTTTATTGGGGGTCTATCAGATGTTAATTCCTAAGGGAATCCATCCTTAGACCGCAAGCTCCTGAGATGTCGTACATATGTAAAAATGTCCCGTTGTGGTTATTTTGAATTTATAAGCCAGTAGCATGTGCTCAGTATTCTTCATCTGTTGGAATCAGCATTGCTTTTTGCAATTTAAAATAGCCAATAGCAGCCTGGCTATTGCTCCCGCCCACTGCCTGCTGTTTACTTTCAGCTTCCAGCAGATGAATGGGGCCACGGAAAAGTTAGGGGGGTTGGCGGAGGCTCCCCTTCACTACCATCACTAGTAGGGGTCGACCGATATCGTGCCCACTGCCTGCTGTTTACGTTCAGCTTCCAGCAGATGAATGGGGCCACAGAAAAGTTAGGGGGGTTGGGGTTGGCGGAGGCTCCCCTTCACTACCATCACTTGTAGGGGTCGACCGATATCGGGCCCACTGCCTGCTGTTTGGATTTAGCTGCCAGCAGCAGAATCTTGCTGCCAGGAGATGAACGAATAGCTAGGTCAGCGGACTATGTGTTCTTTTGCCAGTGCAAGTTTCCACAGCCGGATGTAAACAGAATGCCGCCAATTGATATTGGTTATCGGCCTGAAAGGTGGCCCAAATGTGGAATCTGTTCTGATTAAATGATATCAATCATAGCATGCACATGGAAAATGTTTTGGGCTTTGTTTTTTTACAGCTGAAGTCCGTTACATGGATGTGCAGTGGGGTGGGGTCAGACCTACATGCATTCCCAGAGGTCTGCATTGGTTTAATGAGTTTTCCAATGCCATCATAACTTGTGCTTTGTACTAGTCTGTGTGGCATTAGAAGTTGCTGTTCTTCCTCCATTTTCTCCCATTTTACAGTGCCAGCAGACTGAAGGATAGAAATAATTGCAGGCATTGTAGAGGTGGGTCACCCTTATTAAAAACTAAGAAAGAGCCTAGAGAAAACCAGGTGAGGGCAGCAATGTGATATCATTGGTTTTATGTAGGTATGAAGTTCCAATTTAAATTTAAAAAATTGTCCGTGTTTAGACACAGCAGTCTGTTTTCCCTTGCAACAGTTAGCTGTCACCCAGTAAATCCTTACTATAAATCAATGAAGTCTTTCAAACACTGTAAACTGCATTTTGGCAGCTGTCTTTAGCCATAGAATGTTATCATGCGGTAAATAGTGTGAAGACATTCCTGTTGTATGAATAGTTGGACAACTCCCTTTTGTATTTTTAAGTTATTGTGTTTTGTGGCCTGGCCAGGTTTTGCGCAGCTCCACAGCGACAGTTTTTTTTTTTTTGTGCATTCTCAGTTTGCAACTATCTTAATTGCAGCATTATTATTGGGATGTGAAAATTTGCATCACTGATTATTTTTTCTTTCCAGGTTGTGTTGTATATTAGAATATCAGTGAGCTGGGGGCTTTGTCTGCATGGCTAAAGTCAATATGAACAGATTCACTGTTGAAATACGTATATGTGAATAATTTTGGATCAGTAGGTATAGTGACATAGTGGTTAGCACTTATGCTTTGCAGCACTGGAGGTCTCCGGTTCAAATCCAGGCCAGGACACTTTCTGCATGGAATTCGTTCTCCATGTGCTTGCTTAGGTTTCCTCCCACACTCCAAAGGCATTCTGGAAGTTTAATTGGCTCCCGTCTAAATCAGTCCTGTATGTATGTGAGATATTGACTTTAGATTGTAAACTCCTCGAGGGCAGGGACTGATGTGAATGTGCAGTATGTAAACCACTACTATAGCGCCAGCTATATAACTACCTGTAATAAATAAATAGATAATTCTTTTCAGCCAGTCTTCTGATTTACAAACTCGTATCACTTTATATATCTTGGCAAGCAGCTACAATATATAGTTTGCTTCCGTGTACAATTTTTTTCTTTCATTCTGATCGTTGGATTATAAATCGCTATTATCATGAAATATTGCCCAGTTACGGTGAGTTATAGCACTTTAATTTGTAACTGCAAGCTCTGCATAATTATATTGAATCTTTGAAGTACCGTATATACTCGAGTATAAGCCGTCCCGAATATAAGCCGAGGGACCTAATTTTAGCCAAAAAAACTGGGAAAAAGTATTGACCCGAATATAAGCCGAGGGACCTAATTTTAGCCAAAAAAACTGGGAAAAAGTATTGACCCGAATATAAGCCGAGGGACCTAATTTTAGCCAAAAAAACTGGGAAAAAGTATTGACCCGAATATAAGCCGAGGGACCTAATTTTAGCCAAAAAAACTGGGAAAAAGTATTGACCCGAATATAAGCCGAGGGACCTAATTTTAGCCAAAAAAACTGGGAAAAAGTATTGACCCGAATATAAGCCGAGGGACCTAATTTTAGCCAAAAAAACTGGGAAAAAGTATTGACCCGAATATAAGCCGAGGGACCTAATTTTAGCCAAAAAAACTGGGAAAAAGTATTGACCCGAATATAAGCCGAGGGACCTAATTTTAGCCAAAAAAACTGGGAAAAAGTATTGACCCGAATATAAGCCGAGGGACCTAATTTTAGCCAAAAAAACTGGGAAAAAGTATTGACCCGAATATAAGCCGAGGGTGGGAAATGAGGCAGCTACTGGTAGATAGATACCATTAAAATACATTAATATTTATTTAAAAGAAAAATAACCTAGCTCTGTAAGTGGAAAAGGGGGTACAGGGCTACATATCATGTACTACGGATCATTTAACCCATTCATATTAGCAGAGGATAATTGTAAATCTATTGTTCAGTGCACTCTATATGTAGTATATAGTACATGTACATATAGAGTGCCTGCAACAATACATTTACAATGATCCTCTGCTAACATGAATGGGTTAAATGATCCGTAGTACATGATATGTAGCCCTGTACCCCCTTTTCCACTTACAGAGCTAGGTTATTTTTCTTTTAAATAAATATTAATGTATTTTAATGGTATCTATCTACCAGTAGCTGCCTCATTTCCCACCCTCGGCTTATATTCGGGACGGCTTATACTCGAGTATATACGGTATTACAATAAAAACAAAAATCAATACAGTAAACTCCCCATTATCCGGCATTCAAGGAACCGGCACTCTCGCATAATATGTCCTTGTTTTTTTTTTGCGGTTGCTTGATGGATATGCGGACACTAAAAAATTTTGTACAACTACATTTATTTAACACCCCCGGGTTGTGGTTGCTTAACAGTTACTATTAACTCTCAAGCAAACATACACTACAGTTACCTGGCAGCTACCGATCACTGTGGGTGCCGGATAACAGAGTTTGCAGTATTCAAGAATAAAAGCAGCTGGATGTTAAATGTAAAAAATGTAAACTTTTTTCTACCGATCCAACTAGACTGTCGAGCAATATAAAAAAGCATTTTCATGAAATGTTTTATGCCATTACTTTGGCAATATTACGTACAATAACTGAGTAGACATATTTTGCAGAGGCTAAAGAATCCTATTTGCATTTTTAATGGATTTTCAATCATGACGGGTGTGAACTTTACTTTGTTGAAAGAAAAACAAAATGTGAGAGTGGAGATTAAGCCTGCCAGCCAGACAACTAGCATTTTCCGAAGGCAAGACCAGCAGTTCCAGCCCCCATGCTTCTCTTGTGACAGATTA